CTGCTCCCGAGAGATCCGCCCTCCCTCTCACCCCCGCTTTCAGCGCGGGAAACTGAGGCTCGCGGCTGCGGGAAGGGTAGGACGACCCCAGTTTTACCGACACGCTGGGCACGTGGTCATCGTCTTCCTAGCAGATGAGTTGTGAGGCCTCGGGTGGCCCCGGCTCTTGGGGAGGCTCGGCCCAGGGTCCCCGGGCTGTGCCGACTGGGTGCAGGATTCCCTGGCGGAGGTCATGTAGGGCTCATGGTGCGCCCGGGTCCTGCCATGCCTGCGCGTGCAGCCGGAAACCTGCACAGCGAGCCGCTGCTGGTAACCCAGTGGGATGAGAAAAAAGGCCTATGGAGACGCTGCCACGAGCCAGGACCGAGCTCAGAGCCAGAGGGAGAAAGAAGAGTGAAAACCAGGCTGACCTGACCCGCAGCTACAGCACTGGGTCGGGCATGTCACACATTAATACTATATGTCGCCTCTTATTATTCTGACCATTTCCTTTGTTTTCATAACGTTCCAAGGGCAGGGACGTGCCCTTTTATTCTCTGCCTCCCTCCCAATTAGCTCATTGCTTTCTAAATGGGAGTCACTCAGATGTTTGTGATGAATTGATTCTCCAGGGCCGGCCCCAATGTCTGCATTTCTTGTGTTCCACACAGTCCGCATCCTGTTAGGGATATTGGAGGGCTTCTGGGTTGTTAGTGAAAGTGATAATGTAATAAATAGCCTTATGATAGTTGTGTCAAAATTTGGGATTATACTGAGTTTACTCTGTCGTTGGACTTCAATGATTTGTCATGGGTGTAGGACTTATCACTAACCCTGATTTTACGATGGAGCGATCAGAAGGCCTAGATCCTGGTCTGGCCTGTAGAGAGTGGAGGGTGCATGAAGCAGGCATGGGACAGGCCCTGGGGCGCACGCGCCGTGGAATTCCTTGCAACTGTTTAATCAGACACCCTTATTATGATAGGTATTTCCAAACAGGACATTCGGGAGCAGATCTGGGACTACATGGAATCACAAAATATAGCTGACTTTCCCCGGCCTGTCCATCATAGGATTCCCAACTTCAAGGTACTGACGCATCCCCAGAGCATTCAAAAGGGAAACGGGGTGTTCCTAAATGAATAGCATTGGTAATACAGTTACCACCCTGTTTTCATGGTGTGAAATGCGAACCACCAGGCGGGGTGTTTCTGTGTTGTGGGATGTCCCTTCACTCTCGGGGCCCCTTGCCTTTCTGTGCAGGGTGGGTTAGTTGGTTGTCTTGTCGACGTGGTGCTCAGTCTACCGTTTACTATTCGATGCAGAGTGAAATGTTTATCCTGGCTGAACGCACGTTATTGTGGTGCCTTTTTACAAAATTGGTTCCCCAAGGGTAGAAAGGGTGATGCGCTCTGAGACGTCAGCCCACTGCTGGCACCTGTGGAAGGAGGAAGGCTTCACCAGGCCCTGATGACTCTGGGCCTCAGGCTCCCAGGGTTCAGAATAGAAGACAATCAGAGGTGTCTCTGTGATAGTATTAGTAGGAACTAGTGTGCCTGAAAAAGGCAGCATGCACAGCCCTAATGTTTGGCATACATGTTTGCCAAGAGAAAAAGAAAGCGCTTGTTGAAAATGCACTGCTCTGTCGGCCCGAAGGACGTGGCCCATGTGCTTGCCATCACCCCCCATTTGGGCTGGACATTCTCTCGCAGCCCGGCTGCCAAGAAGCAGGCCCCAGGCCTTGCCCGGCCCTTAGCTGAGCTGGTCCCGAGGCCATCCTGTTCTTCTGAAAAACTGTTCTTTTGGATGGTTTTGTCGCTACTTTGTTTTGTTTTAGTGCTTGTTTCTCCAGGGAGAGAGATGTACGTGAAGTACAGGGAATGGATGAAAGGTGCACAGAATCAGTGATGATCTTTCAGAAGGAAATCGGCCAGGAGAGGGAGGGGGTTCCGGGCCAGTGCTCTAACCTGGATTCATGCGCTCTGTCCTGGTTTAGGGGATGGTTCGCAGATGTGTTCCTTTTGTGAAAATTCATGAAGCTTACACATGATTTGTACCCTTTGGGGGAGTGTGTTTTATTTCAGTAACAAATTGGGGCTTGGCCAGCTTTCCCAGCCGCTCTCTACCCTGACTGCTGTCTTAGGTGTTTCTCTGTGCGACTCTTAAGTCCTGTCTCACGCATGATGAGTGCTTCCGCCTGTCTGGGAGGGATGCTGGAGCAGGTGCTCGGGCTGCAGTTGTCCTCTCAGTAACGTGCCGTTGCCTTTAACACAGGGCGCTGCTTGGGCCGCTGAGCACTTCCCACGCTTGCTGGCGTTCAAAATGGCCAGGACCATTAAAGTCAACCCTGATGCTCCCCAGAAAAACGCTCGCTTCTTCGTCCTCGACGTAAGTGCAACTCTGTCTGCTTGCCTACCCAGGGCTCTTACCTGGCTTGCCAAAGCATCAAAGACCTCGGAGTTTTTGCCAGAACGCAGGAAGTTAAAGTGGACCCCGACAAGCCGCTGGAAGGCGTCCGGCTGCTGGCACTGCAGGTAATCCCACTGCCCTGCACGGAGCCCTGGCCCTGACGGGAAGGCGCCCACCAGGTGGCTGGTAAATGTGTGCAGTCCTGCTGTACCCAGAGGCTGGCTCTTCTAGTCCCTCCCACGCAGAACGTGCCCTGGAGTTGTTTTTCCAGGAACAGTCCAGAAGTCTTTCACTTGCTCAGCAGTCGGTCCTGGATGTTTCTGGAATTCAAAGATAAAAGACGTGCAAGATGATGATGTTGAGGCATTCTCAGTTCTGATGTGCTTCACCAGAAGGGAAAGATTACAATATGTTTATTCTTTCTGCTACCTTTGTAACATTGCAGTTCTTTGAAATGGGATAACCCATGAGTCAGGAATCTGGTGCGTCCCCAAAATATTATATATATTAAAAATATATTAGAACAGTGTTTAACTATATAGGCCCCCTTTCAAGAAAAAAAAAATTCTCCAGGGTTGCTTTAAATTATTATAATTCAATAAGTGTAAACATAAAACTTGGTATAAATGTTAATGCTCATAGCTCTTATGCAATGATAAAATGCACATAAGCATATAAATAAAGTGCAAACAAAACTTTAAAAGCAATAACATTCAAATAACCACTGATTTTATGAATGGGTGATGTTGTGCTGAACGCATTGCTGCTGATAATGGGAATGTGGTGCTGAGGGCCACGGGGCAGGGTCTTCGGAATTCTGCCTCCCCCTCCCTCGCCTCGTGTGGTGACTCGGTTGGTTCTCCTGCGCCCCCGGAGAAGCCGTGGTTCTGCAGGGCACCTTCCATCCCACGTGGTGGAAGGAGTACCAGGAAGTAATTTTACCAGATTGGGGAGGGTGCAGGGATCCCGCTCTGGTTCTTTCAACTCTCCGGTGTAGGAAGTGAGTCTGTCTTCTGTTTGCGGTTCAACCCCACGAGGCCTCTGGTGTAGGCTCTTCTGGAAGCATTCTTCCTCGCAAGCCTTGTTTTCTCGGTCAGCAAAGCACTTTAATGAACTAGAGGTGGTAGTAGCGGCAGCAGTGAAGGACCCACAGTATATATGAAACCCATTTCTATCTAAACATTTTCCTATGTTCGTTTAATCCTGCTGACAACCCAGTAGGAGAGATCTCCCTTCCCATATGTCATTGAAGAAACCAGACACAGAGAGGTCACGTGTCTTGACCAAGTCACACGTCAGGAATGGTGGAGACGGGATGGGACACTGAGTCCTCATTACCACTTTATTTATTCAGGGGAAATAAATAGCCAAGCTGTATTTCAGGCTCTGCCAGGCACAGGGATGTAGTGGTGAAAAGCACACAATGTCACCTACAGTCCCTATGCTCTAGGGCTACAAGTTCATCAGTGGTTTCGTGTAGTGGGTTAACAGTCATGAGGAAGCAGAGAAAACTGCAGGTTCCCCAGTCCCACCTGAGTGCACGCAGGGACGGTGCTGCACACGCCGCAGACCACACCTGGCTTCCCCGGCCCAACCCCAGGCCTTGAATTGGTTTGTGCTTGAGAACCATTGGCCTTGCCTGTGTTTGCCAACACTCACTGCAGGTCAGTACCCTCCCGAGAGCTTTGAAGATGTCTGTTGTCGAAGTCAGGTTCTGAGTCAGAGGCCCTGAGTGGGTCTGGAGATGCTGTCGTACAACTAGGGTTGAGGTCTGCTGAGCTATGGTGAGCAGCTTCCAGAAAAGAGGGAGGAACCGGAATCAACCTTCAGGGTAGCAGTCATCTGGAGATTGCAAATGCCAGGAACCCAACACGAGTTAGCACTCAAAAGGAAGATAGTATGTGGTCATTGCTTGTAGGAAATACTCTCCTCTGCGGTTGAAAATGTTTATTTAAGTAAGCCGGACTGGTTTCAGAGGTCTTTCTTTTATTGGTCTCAGTCTGGCTTCTGCACAAAAACTGAAGCACACTATTTTTTACACAAAAGATTTTATAAATGTTATGACTGCCTGTGCCCTCCCCTGGGTGATCAACAGAGATGCCCGTGGGCAGTGGTTCTCCCCACTGACCAGGTGGGCTGTTAAGCAGGTTGCTGGGCCGGTGTCCAGGCATTTCTAACAAGTGCCCAGGGGTTCCTGTGGCTGCTGCCCGGGGCACCCACTCTGAGAAGCCCTATGCCCTCTGGCACTCACAGTCTGAGACTAAATACAGTCAAACCTCGTTTCTCCAGCGGCTCCCATGTTGACCAATTTGGTTCACAGAAAAAAATATCTCAGTTGTCAACCAAAACTTCATTTTTCTACCTGACAGTCCTTTCATGCTGGTATCTCAGCAAGACAGAAAGTGTCTCTTAGACAATAAAGGAGAGAAGGCTTTTGTTGCTGGTGATTGGCACAATTTTAAAACATAAAGAGGCCATCGGAGTGCTGATGTTGCTAAGGGCGTGAAAGTGCTCACAAAACCGCAGTCACAGGCAGTTGAATAGGTGGAAAAACTGTTGATTGAATCCGTGAAAGGGAGTTAGCCCTGGAGAGCATGTTGGAGGCAGTGATACATGAACAATTCATTTGAGGTTAGTAGGGGCTGGTTCGATAAATTTAAGGAAAGAAGTATTTACAGATTAAACAGTACATTAGACATGTGCTGTATAGAAGAAAGGCTAAAACAGGGAATCATTTGAGTCTGCAGTGGATTAATTCAATTTACATTATTTCTAATGGGGAAAATGATTTAGTTTTCGAACAAATCGCTTCTCAAACAGCCAAGTTAGAAGCTAGAGAGCCGAGGTTCCCCTGTAGGAGATAAGGGCTGTTGACACAGATGAATATGTAATATTGATTCTATCAAGTGTTGACTTTTTAGGTTGTGATTTATTGAACAGCAAACTAGAGATAAATGCTGATGGCATAACATTGTTAATGTAGCTGTAGTGACTAGTTTAGAATTAAAACAGCAGCTATATAAAATACTTAATGCTGAGAACAGGGAACATGGGAAAGTTATGGTTGGAAATTTTGTAAGAACAGACCTTTGGCCGAAACCGGTTTGGCTTAGTGGATAGAGCATCGGCCTGCGGACTGAAAGGTCCCAGGTTCGATTCCGGTCAAGGGCATGTACCTGGGTTGCGGGCACATCCCCAGTAGGAGATGTGCAGGAGGCGGCTGATCGATGTTTCTCTCCCATCGATGTTTCTAACTCTCTATCTCTCTCCCTTCCTCTCTGTAAAAAAAATCAATAAAATATATTTAAAAAAAAAAAAAAAAAGAACAGACCTTTGTTTGGATTTGTGTTGTCATTTTTTTACATGTCACAATTTTCATTGGCAAGTGAAATAGAATTAGCCGTTTAACAAATGCCCTGTGAAAGGCTGGGTAAAGTAGTGTCTCTAAATAAAATCAACCCTCGCGCTTTTATTTATTTGTTTGCAAACAAGTAATTTCCTGGCACACACCAAGAAATTGCAGATAATAGTAACTTGTTTCACTCCTGAAATGTTAAAAACATATGCAAGAAAGTTCCTATTTCACTTTGTAATTTATCGATTGTTTTTCTTTTAAAAGAGCAAAAAAACATTGTTGGTTCCAACACCAAGACTGAGAACAGGATTATTTAATAGGATCACACCACCCCCTGGGGCAACTAAAGACATCCTGAGAAAATGTGCCACCTCGCAGGTAAGTGTTTCAGCTGCAGCTGCTGCTCAGTTAGGATAGCGGATAGCCTGTTGTTTCACCACACGCTGGAAATTTATTTCTATCAAAGTCAAATGAACAGAGATGTTAAAAGTATTCAGCACCTGCCATTAAGGGGCCAGGTAGAAACACTATGAATACCTGGGTTCTGTTTTTGTAACTTGGTTTCTGTTTCTCACCAAGCTGGCAAATTATAAATTCTGTTAAGAAAGAAAAGGAAAAACAAAGTACCTGGTACTCTGGCGCCCTCTAGTGCTAATCTGTGATGTTTAATGGTCTATAGATTTTTATCAAAGGCCAGGAGAGCAACTGGGGACACAGGATAGAATTTCCAAAATATTTTCAATTGGAATGACTTACCAGTTGCAAATTAATTATTGCTTATATATACATATGTATGTATATAAAAATGCACACACGCTCTGAATAGTTATAAAGTCAGTATTTGTTAAAATTCATTTCATTTTTTAAATGTAATAAAATCTACAGACATAGTGTGTATACATTTGGGAGAGAAACCCTGTGTGTGTGTGTGTGTGTGTGTGTGTGTGTGTGTGTGTGTGTGTATTTGATATTATATGTAAGATTTTCTTGAATGCCTCACCATGTAATAAAACCAAAGTATGTAACTATTACATTAGTGTGTGTTATAATGGAATTTGTCTTGTAGTTTACAGATAAAGAAATAGAATTTGGTGGTTTTTCAGACTCCTAGAGTAGACCCAGGTAATTTGATTCTTACTTTACTGGAATAAAAAATAGGGCATCAAGATACTCCTTTCTTACAGGGATTTTCCACTTAACTCTAATGTGTAAAAATTGAATGCTTTATTATTTATTGATAACCTGTTGTATTCCAAAAATAGAACTTGATGAGGCTTACAATAGTACGTAATAATAAAGTAAAATAATAGAAGATGTGTGGGGAAAGGAGCAAAGGGAAGATAAGGATAGAAGAATAAGAGGCAGCAGTGGTTCAGGTTGCTGCTCAAAACCGCAAGCCCTGTGACCCTCTGCCTTTGGCAACCTGGGCTGCAGATGGGAGCCCACGTTCCTTGGGGCCACAGGGGATGTGATCCGTGTAAATCATAGGCTCACGACAGTAAGAGCCTTTTCCTGGAATTGAGGTCCAGGTCGGGGCTGCTATAGTGGTCTGTCACCTGAAACAGCACCCCTCTCCCCTCCGAAAGGGGACCACCACCCTGCTTACTGCCCGGAGTTCCCCGTGAAGTGCCGGCTCTGGCTGGTCCCGCACACACACTCCTGAAAGCCTAACGGCCCATGAGGAGGCCGGACCCGTTCTCATGGCTGAGCTTCAGTAAGGACTGAACAGCAGGGTTTGGGCGTTTTTACAGCATGAGGTACTGGATCCAAATCAGAGATCCAGAGTCATGAGCTGCAGACAGATCTTCATGTGCTTTATGGCACAGGGAGAGTGGTGAAGGGGAGACACTGAGGCCGTGTCTTACGCAGGGGCAGATTTTAGTGCGATCTTTGTTTTGTTTGCCAAAGCTCGGTGGCGGGAATACTGCCGCATGCACATCTACTCCAGGAGACTCCGAGGGCGCCTTGTTTCTTGGAAGATGAGTCTGAGTTTGTCCTCACCACCTCAGCCCCCGTCACGCCCCAGCCATCTGTGTCTGTCATCCTTGTCGTTGTATTTGCTCGGACACAGGAGTGTTCTGGTAACCACCCCACGGGCAGGCAGAAAAGTGTGTTACTCACATGATAAGTCCGTCTACTCCTGTCGGGCGAGGCTTAGCCGGTGAGGCTGGCCGAGTGAGGGAAGAGGAATTGTAACAGACAGAGGTACAACCCAGGAACTCCGCATGCTGTCTGCTCACTACGGCTGCCCGACACTGAGCCCATTAACACTGAGCTGGGGACAAGGGCTGTGGACATGAGGTGCCTGTCTCCATGGCCTGTGAGAGTGAGGAAAACAGGCTTTCCCGCGGTGGGGACACCTAGGCTGTTGACTAGTTTGACTGTTGGGAGTCCCCAAACTTACCTCGTGTACTGATTCTGTGTGTGGCTTGTCCTATAGTTGTAGATGGGACAGGGGCCAGTACCACATCCAGTGATTCGCTTCTGCCAGGCACTGCTCCGAACATCGTTCCCATCTGGTTTCCTAGATTAACTGTAGCCCTCGTTATCAGAATCACGGCCTGTCAGCTTCCCTATTCCTTAAATACGGGCCTCCACTAGTTAGTACGCATGGGAGTACTCTTGGTGCATTTTGGTTGAATAAGTAATATTTCAGAAGTGTGTATGCTATACACGAAGGCCATGGCCTCCAGCCTTTCATGCTGCATTAATGTGGCCATGTCTTATGGGCCAAATGCTGTACCTCCGTGTTACCATTTCATCGTAACACCAGCCCGATAAGCCTGTGTGGGGTCCCCTTCTTAAAGATGAGGAAACTGGAGCCCAGAGAGCTTCCTCCTGCTGAGGTCACAGGGCAGAGGGGTCTGGGCCAAGTTCTGAGGGACTCCTGTGCCTGCCTGTGTTCTGATCACCGGGTGGGGAAATGATTTGCTAAAAATCATGAAGTTAATATTCTCTCCATTTGTGCTGTCAGTCCCTCTTGGCATCTTTCCTGGGAAGACATTGTGGTAAATTATCCTAAAATGTTTTTCCTGAAATTCCATGTCTGCCATGCTGTGGGGCTGCACGTGCATCTGCTTCTCGCAGGAGGTTGATGCCGACTGGCACTCGCCTGTGAGCTGTGAGGTGGGGCAGCCGCTCGCTGCCGGGGAAGCTCAGGTCCGTGTCTCTGTCCGCAGGGCGTGAGGGACTACAGTGTTCCCGTGGGCTTGGACGCCAGGGTCCTCGTGGACTTAGTGGTGGTGGGCTCCGTGGCCGTTTCCGAAAAAGGTAAGATTACAAACAGAAACTCCAGTGCGACCACTTGGCCTGCAGCTTGCTTTCCACCGGCTCTGCTCAGCTTCTGGGCGCCGACGGTAAGGAATTTCAGCCTCTGGTCTCATGCCTGGCTTCCAAAACCAGTGCATCCATCGTTCATTTTGAAGAGTTAACTCCGTGCCTCCCACTCCTGGCCCCACTCAATGCTTTTACAGTATTTCCACTCTTCTCACCTGGAAAAATAAAGTGAGATAATCCCTTCAGATGGTGAAAGGGTTCCCCTCTGTTCTTAAGTTAACTGGCACCGGAGCTGAGTTTATTTGCAGTGTGTCAGTAAGTAGCTGGTCTTGGAGAGCCTCCAGTGAGTGGGAAATCTTAACTGCGGCACCTTGTGTTTGTTATGGAGCAGCAGCGTCCTGGACAAGATGGGCCCGCGCCTGCTGCGAGGCCTGGTGCTCCGCGGTGCGGGCAGGTGAGCAGCGTGGCGCCGGCGCTGCCTGGCACCCTCGGGCGTGGGCCCCTGTGCTTCCGAGGGACCTCTTTCCCCTGCACTGCCCTGCCCCAGCCCAGCCTGATGCTCTTTGAAAACAATCTGCTGGTTCTTTGGGGGAGTCAGTGGTTCCAGGTGGGATCAGCCCATCTCAGACCTGCTTATACAGTGTGACTTGGGTCCCACTGGGAGAGTGTTCTCTCTCTTCTCATCCCCAAAACTCGTGTTGTTTTTGTTTGTTTGGTTTTTGTTTGTTTTTGTTTAAATATGTCTTTATTGATTTCAGAGAGGAAGGCAGAGGGAGAGAGATAGAAACATCAATGATGAGAGAGAATCATTGATTGGTTGCCTCCTGCATGCCCCACACCAGGGATTGAGCCCACAACCTGGGCATATGACCGGGAATTGAACTGTGACCTCCTGGTTCATAGGTCGACGCTCAAACATTGAGCCATGCCAGCTGGGCACCCAAAGCTCTCTCTTTGAAATTAATTGGCCAAGGCCAAGTTCTGTTTTCAGGAGAGGTTTTCAGTAAATAGTTGGTGAGAGATGCTCCAAGGCAGTCATTGAGCTTGGTGTTTTTAAATGCTGGTCTGCAGTATCTTCACCTTCAGTTTACTTACTGTCTTCTCCCAGCTCTCTGAGCTAATATGTGAGATGTTTTGCTTTTCCTGTGCACAGTTACAGATACTTTATCCTGTGCACATGCGCACACCTTTCCTGCGTGCCTACCAGGGGCCAGGAGCCAGGCCGGCAGGGTGTTCTCTGCCCAGGACCCACAGTGAGTGGGAGGAGCAGACAGCAGCCGAATTGCAGGACCATATGCGTGGCATCAGGTGGGAGTTAGGACAGGCAGCAGCGGGGTCAGAGGAGGGACCTGTGAGTCTCGGGCAGGGCATCACCTCAGAAGTGACACCAGGGCTAGCCCTTGCATGCCAGTTGTTTCCGAGGCAGGTGGAACGAGAGGAGAGGTGGCAGGTTTTCGGAGCAGGGCCCTTGGCGGTTGGGGCCGGCTTTCCTGAGGCCTTGAGGCCAGTGACAGGATTTGGACTGTACTGATCTGGCAATGGAAAATGAGCAAACATTTCTTCTTTCAGAGGTTATTGGAGGTTTCCTTTTTCAGCTTTGAATGTATGAAGAAGCATATGTTCTGTAAATCTCACCATCCAGATAACCACCTGCTTAAAGCAACAAAACCACCTGCATGTGTTTGGGAAATTTGAACAGCACAGAAAGCATCACCCCCCTCCCCCCCCACCTTCCTTTTCCCAAACCCCGCTGCCGGCAGTTCCTGTGTCACTGTAGACACCCGCACCGCCTGAGACACAGGTGTCGCGTGTGCTCTGCGTGTTGTGTGTTCATCCTGTGTCTGTGTCACAGGGTGGCGGCAGCACTCGCAGGGCTTGGTGCCATGTGGGTGATGTGTCTCCAAGGCCTTGGCCGGCAGCACAGCCGGGCTGACCTGTTGATCGCCCTGGCTGACGGCCATTTCGTTTTCTTCAGGGTTTGGTTTTGTTTCTTCCCACAAATGGCACTAGAGTGGGGTGTTACCTTGTCACATGGCCTACGTGGGCCTTTGGAGACTGTCCATGGGAGAGGAATTGCCGAACAGGGTTTTAAATCCTGATGGATGTTTTCAAATTATCCACCAGAAAGGCTGCCCACCTCCCACCCCCAGCACCATATGCCTTGCCTCTCTCCCCACCCCCTTGTTAATCATCCAACTTTAATTATTTGCCCATCTGATGGTATTTCATGTGCCTTTTGATTTGCATCAGTTACAAGTGACATTGAACATTCTCATAGGTGCTGTTCATCTGCCCATCTCTTCTATGGATGGTTCATATCCTTTGCTATTTTTCTGTTGAATTGTCTCTCTTATTTCTTTGCCTGCACTGTTGAAGGCTTTTAATTGTAAAAGTAGCACGATCAGATCTGAATCTCAGATGCACGAGCAGTGATGCTTACACTCTCGGGGTGAGGCTGATGAGAAGTAGAAGTCAGAATCCTGCACTGTCCTGGGCTGCTACCCAGAGGAACCTGTCGGCTCAATCTGGGAGTCAGAGGCCTGTTACTGCTTACTGTCCTGCTGCGTTCTTTCCTCCTGTTGCCTCGGATAATGATGCGTTTGTTACGCTGCCATTTACGAATTAGCAGAAATAGCACTAGTACTGCTTACACCACCCTCCCTCAGGAGCTGTAGGGCTGCTTGGGTAGCTATGCCATTTTAAATCACATATCCCTGATTTTAGAGCTTTTATTTTCCCTTCAAGGGAAGGAGATGAAAAAGATTTGCCTTTAGTAGGAAGTTATTCTTAGTCCTTTTAAAAACAACTCTTTCGCCCTAACTGGTTTGGCTCAGTGGATAGAGCATCAGCCTGCGGACTCAAGGGTCTCAGGTTTGAATCCAGTCAGGGCACGTACTTTGGTTGTGGGCACATCCCCAGTAGGAGGTGTGCAGGAGGCAGCTGATCAATGTTTCCCTCTCATCGATGTTTCTAACTCTCTATCCCTCTCCCTTCCTCTCTGTAAAAAATTAATAAAATATATTAAAAAAATAAAATAAAAACAACTTTCATTGTTTTTAAATGGAGTCCTGCTAGCATAAAGCTCACATAAATGCAAGCTCAGCTTCCTTTTGTAGCATGTTTAAACGGTTTGATGTTCACTTCATTGTGTGTTAGCCACTGTACACATTCAGTGTCGTTACTCCTCTTTGATTCCTCTTTAAGTTCATTCTCAGTGGGCCGCCTGTGGAGTTACTGTGGAAAGCCAGGGATATGGGGTCCACGTTTCTCCCTTCATTGTGACGTAATGAAAAGTTTACTCCTGAGTGATTTCCCGGACCCTACTCAGATGTTGATTCTCTGCGTTGTCTCTTAGGCTGGAGAATTGGGAAGGGAGAAGGTTATGCTGACCTTGAATATGCCATGATGGCGTCGATGGGAGCAGTCAGCCAGGGGACGCCAGTGGTCACCATCGTCCACGACTGCCAGGTGCTTCCTGTGGCCGACAGAGCCACACCGTGCACCTCTGAGAGGGGGACACGGGGAGGGAGGGGGAGGTGGGGAGAGGCAGGCAGAGGCAGACCAGTCTCTGCCTTCACTCCGCTCTGTGTCATGAGTGGCATGGATCAGCTGGGGCTGGACCTGTTTAGTGATGGGCAGCGAGGCCGCATCCCAGTGGATGTGGGAGGTGGAGCCTCCACTGCACAGTGCCGTGAGCACTGCAGTGTGTTCCCATCAGCTCCTTGACCCACTTCTGTTTGCTCAGGTCGTCGACATACCTGAAGCGCTCCTCGAGGATCACGACCTCACTGTGGACTATATTCTCACTCCAACCAGAGTCATCACCACGGGGTGTGAGCGCCCAAAACCAACAGGAATCACGTGGTCTAAGGTGGGTCAGCGTGTGGCATGGAGGGCAGCCACAGCCTCCCGTGGCCGGTGCTGGCCCCAGCTTGGAGGACTCTCTCTCTCCCTGGGTCCTTCCTCTGGCGTGGCAGCTGTCCCCAGGCCTGCAGTGGCTGTATGTTAGAGTTACCGTGAGCTTTTCAACAATTCAGCTCCTGATCACGGTCTCCAGGCATGGACCTAAGAATTATTTTGCAAACCCGTGGGATTCTGATTAGCAGCCGCTTCAAGGTCTCCTTCCACAAGACA